ATCCAGCGTCGAATTTTCAATGGAACACAAACTAATCAACCCAGCCTACGTAATTGCGGCAGTTACAGCGTTTGCCACTGCACAAATCCTAAAACACCATACACTACCCCTCACACAAACGTAGGTACGTCGGATGCTGTTATTAGTCCTAAGAACAAGACTCCAAATAAAGCAGCTGCAACCACTCGTCCTCGGCCCAAACACTCAGCTACCCCAAAATGCCAATCCACTTATGTCTCAATAGTGCCCCAGTATTGCCCTAGCGGCCCCGATAAAAGGCCTAAAAGTGATCCTCCCAGGAATTGCGCTAGCAGCTACAGACGCTCAGACACCGCTGTACGAAATAATACTAAACTCTCCGTAAAAACCCATCAGTACTCCGGCACCTCTAACCCAAAACATGCACCTTTTTATAGAAGTAGAACGCCCTACAACAAACATGGTGAACTGACAGTACCCACTCATCCTAATGTGGAACGTCACTCGACAAGAACCATACCTACACGTGATACTCGTAAGTCATATAGTGTGAACCTTGCAAGCTCCATGAACCAGCACAAAACTAAACACAACAGAAACACCTCCCTTTGCAACAATGTCAGGCAATCCTTCATTCCTCAACAGAAACATACAACTGCCCCAACTACCCATAACAGGACTAAAATTGCCCACCGCACACAAGGAAGCCATAACGTTGGCCTGCTTGGGAACCCACCTATTAGTTCTAGATACTGCCTAAGTCAAGCCACCCTATACAACTCTTTAATCCCCCCTACCTCAACATATATACCATCTCATCCTTTTTCATCTCCCCCCTCAACAGTGCTGCTATGTGGTCTCCAAATGTTGATGGTGACAACCCCACTATTCTGAGACCATATATATACTCCGACTTAATGAGGAGTGGAACATGTTCCTCAACGTCGATAACTGTTTCTAGTCTTATAAGCTCCTTGACTGAACCTCATGGTCACTCTCCGAACACACTACCTAACCATCCTACTCTATCTTTCACTCTTAAACATACTTCTTTCAACAAACTAACCTCCAACTATTTTTCGCACATTAACCCTATTGGTAATAAACTAACCGCTCATCAATATGGGGTGAACACTCCCAATTCTTCCTTTTCTCATGGCAAAACAGACAATCCACTGATTTTACGTCATGCTCTTCTACTAGACAAACACTCATCGTACCTGACACTTATGTTAATTAACGCTCAATCTGTACAAGGTAAGATGACTCACTTGCACACCCTATTACTTTTAAAAAACCCTCACTTGTTTTGGTAACGGAAAGTTGGCTGTCCTCCGATACCACAGACACATATTTACAAATAGACACCTATGAGCTCTTCCACTGTGATCGAGTCACCAAGAAGGGTGGTGGTTGTCTTGTTTATGTATCAAAAAATTTGAGGGGGAAAATCTATAGCGATCAAACCCCTCAGCAAAATTCCTGATTTGATATGGCTTACTGTGCACACTCATGAATTTAAAGTAGTAATCGGATGCATCTATCGAGTGTATATTTTCGCTGCAATGTAAGCCGTCTCAAAATGTGTTTCCCATGATTGAATAGTGAATAATGACTTCGCTAGTTTTAACGCACACCATCTGATACCATAGTTCATAAAACATGGCAATATCTAATAACAACTAGTATAATATGTTTCTACTACTTCAGAGTCAGTCTCATAATTTAACTTTCACCCAACTCCGTCTTCGATACGTAAAGGCAGAAAGTTGGGGAGAACCTTCGTCACGTCTGCGATTCCATTATGTAGCTATGACCACCAAAATGTTAACCATCCCAACCACATAGAGATATAAATGATAGGCAGAGACCCAGTCGAAATCATTTAAGAGGTCGAACAGTAGTGCTCAAAGTATATGTGTTTATGAGTCACTAGACTGATCTTGGTAACGAAATACAGGTGGTTATCTTGGTTGGCAGAACTATTTACACGAAACAGCTCTGCCATATACGATCTCCCTATTATTTTATTTTCACCCTATGTTATCATAGAGATTCTTCCTGTTTTCGTCATTAATGGGCTTTGATTCTTCTATAGACGAAAAAGGTTTGGCCAGGTTGGAACCCATTAATAATCATACTCTGTCACCTATTTTCCAGTACTATCATGTCTTTATTTCATGCTCTCTATATCGTTCTTCACCCATTGTGTTTATTATTTGATCTAAATGAGTGCTCCAAACAAGTCATGAGACCGCTTTATCCCCAATTGTCTTCTTTCCCAGATTCCCCCACACATGTTCATTTGGTCATTCACACAGCACACAACAAGCTTCCAGGTCAGTGTTAGACGTAAAATCTACCAACGACTAAATGTTACAATACAAATTCGACAGAATCCTGATATCAGACAATATCATTAGATGCACGCAGGACTGCTAATAATAATGAACACATCAAAATGTATTTTGAGATCAATATAGAACAAGATACTGAGCCCTGATGGGTTAAATCCACGATTATTTCGCGGTCAATCGCGATGCTCTTCATAACGTCTCTTTCCCTCAGACATGAAAGGTGCTATAGTCAGTCCCATATTTAGAGGGGGTCAGAGACGAATAGTACCTACTTACCCATCTGTCAACCTAGACAACATATTCGTTAGGTTACTTGAAAAGATAATTCAGGTTAAGTTACTAATGTAATGAGCAGACGAAGTTTATCAGAATTGTGTGATATATTTGCGCAAGTCATTTCGAACAATCCGATCACACATATACTTGTTAAGACATTTTTGTATGAAAATTAAAGGTCAACTAGACAGGTTAAAGGTAAGCCATAACAAAGGAAAAAATAATAATATTAAAGTACAGAAAAACAATGTGATTATCACTCTGGATAATAAATCAGTATTACCAAGGTAGGTTAATTGTAAGGAAATAATGTTTTTGAACGCATAAATGATTAGTAAAGGGCTTATTCAATAGAATCAATCGTATTTGTACTAGTGGCACTATTGAAGTAGAGACGGAACTCTTGACTGATACGTTAATGAACAACGGTTATTCATTAAAGTTCACAAACGGCTGGAAGGGTTGCAATACGACTAGACCTATGATGCTTCTGGCATCTCAAAAGCGGGTTTACATTAAGTTATCATTTAGAGGCGACACAAATAGTCACATTTTGAAACGGAGATTTAAATTAGCCATCAACCAGACATTTCATGCAGCCCAACTTGTTAGTATCGAAAAGACAAGGTCTATGTTTCACCAAAAGCTCAAATAGCACGAAAGCGATTATGTCACATCCCGTTGTGCCTATCATTTTACATGTGTGTGCGGAAACACGTACACAGGGAGGAGCAGCTGTGATTTGCAATTAAGGGTGGGTGAACAAATGCCAAAATGGCTGCGGAAAAATGGATTCCAGTGGTCAAATAAGATCATATGATAGACAGACATAATCCTCCATTGCGAAACATTTGACTGAGACTGGTCATAAGGTTGACATCAAGTCAGCATTTGTAGTGTTATACGAAAGTCTTCAAGGACGTATACTAAGGTTTATTGAAGCCTTGGCTATACGGAAATCGAAACCCCGTTTATGCACTCAAAAACATTTTTTCCTTACAATTAACCTACCTTGGTAATACTGATTTATTATCCAGAGTGATAATCACATTGTTTTTCTGTACTTTAATATTATTATTTTTTCCTTTGTTATGGCTTACCTTTAACCTGTCTAGTTGACCTTTAATTTTCATACAAAAATGTCTTAACAAGTATATGTGTGATCGGATTGTTCGAAATGACTTGCGCAAATATATCACACAATTCTGATAAACTTCGTCTGCTCATCGCATTATCAACATTTATCAAATGGACTAGTTGTTTTAAGTTAATAAGTCATATAGAATCTTACAATCTGTTGACTCTCGAGGAACACAGGTTTCGAAATAACCACTCATGTTTGACCAACTTGCTTATTGCGAGAGAGGATTGGGCAGCAACCCTAGATAACGGTCTGTCTGTCGATTTGATATTCATAGATTTTAGCAAAGCATTTAACAAGGTTTTACACTTGAGACTTATGTAGAAGCTTTCAAGCTTCGAAATAATAGGTACTGTACAAGAGTGGATAAAAACTTCTTATGCGACCGCAAACAGAGGGTGAGGGTTAATGGAACGCTATCCGAATGGAAGCCGGTCAAAAGTAGTCTACCTTAAGGCACCATATTAGGCCCTCTTCTCTTCCTTCTCTATGTTCACGAGTTACCGCTGTTGCTTAGGTCGTCGACATTATTGTTTGCGGATGACGTAAAACTCTGGAGAACAATAAACAGTGAGGCTCATCATTTGGATCTCCAAGCTGACTTAGACGAATTAGCTAGATGGGCTCGAGGTTGGGGCTTAGAAATCAACTCTAAGAAGAGTGTGCTAATGCACATAGGTCACGGTACTAGTTACCACCATACTATTGATGGCAAACCTCCTCCATGTGTTCAAGAACATAAAGGCTTAGGAGTTATAATAAGTCATGACTTGAAAACAACTACTCATTGCAATGCAGCTGCTGTCATAGGTTTTCGTGCGTTGTAGTCAGTTCGCCGAGCATTCAAATGCTTCGACGAGGAAATGTCTCGAATTGTATATCCCACCTATGTAAGACCACATTTGGAGTACTGTATCCAAGCAGCATGTCCAGCGTGTAGGAATCAAATTAGTAAAGTGCATTTCTAAATTCCCTTACGCCTAAACCTTTTCCCGTTGTCGTATCGTAGGACGCGGGGTGACCTTATACTGGCATTTTGTATCTTTAATTATGCGATCTAATAAACTTAAAGTGGGGTTCCGTTTTTCTCATCGAGTGGTCAATGACTGGAACGCCTTAGCCGAACAAGTGGTATGAGCCTCATCAGTGAAAATCCTCAAGGAGAAGCCGGAACTTCACTGGAAGGCAAACTGTCGGGATTAACACAGGTCCAACAACCCACTATCCCTATTACTGAAGACAAAATCTGAAGTTTGAAATTCATAGGGGCGCTAGTTCGTACATGTGAGCTACGTGGGTGTTGCTAGTCGTATCATGGAGTTAGTTGAGACAAAGCCAAAGAAATCAAACAAACCGAAAGGTATCTTCGTGAGCTATTAGTTGGCATTCTGCTTCAGATACACCTTTTCACCAGCAGCGTCTAAAGTCATGGAGACCAATTCTAACTGCTAGGAATGCGTTTCCAATATTTCTCACTATTGGGTTATTATCCATACCAGTGGGTATAGTTTTACTTGCATCCTCTAATAGCGTAAGTCTTCGTCTTGCTTCTTCACCCTGGTAAGGTCTTAGAGGTTGTTGTGGAGTATACTCACTGCGAAGATACCGTACGCCATACACGATGTTCTGAGTTGGTCAGACTTCCTGACTTCTATAGGACATATAATATATGTTCATGCAAAGTCGAATTTGAACTCAAGGAAGAGTTCAAGGTAAGTGTTTCACGAATCTACGTCGTCTAAAATACTTAGTAAATGCCAAAGTAGCACTGTTGTGTCCAATGCTTTGCTTTCTGTACGTATTGCTTACAGTTCCATCTGACCCAAAAATGTTCATTTCAAATCGGCATGGTCACTCTAATATTATGCGATCGTATTAGCGTCATAATGGCTTAGGTTTAGGAGGAATGTTCTTGCCATTAATTGTTACTACGATTTTGTTTATTATCCATGTAACGACAGTAGAATTTTAATTGGCTTATTGCTTCCACCAGTGATTTTTTCTACATTTTTGCTAGTAAAGGTTTGCTGTTGATTTTGGTGCTAAAAAATATTACCACTGTTGGGTCGAGAATTTGTGTTGCTAGTACATGTATAACATGTCTACTAATGTCAGTACGAGAATTTCCTTTTAGTTCACCGCATATAGATGATATCTCCATCCAATAAAATTTTACTTACAGAAATCAGTTCTCACCAACTGTAACTTGGATAACAAAAACTCATTCGGACTACTCCAGTCGTTATATTTAGTATTATTCGTCTCTTAAATGCTTAACAATCTAATAATTACATAAACGTAGATATTTGCTTCGATTCTCTTATCATCGATATGGTAATTATTATATTTAAACGGGTTCTCCATTTATGAAACTAATTCTTACTGTAGCTTATAAATAGCAACAATATATTCACCATTACATATGTAGACAACCGTAATTCATTGACGTGAGACGTTAAAATATTTAGTGCTGACATGAAGCATTTGTAAGTAAAATTGATTATTACTAATTGTGATTTGAGTTTTTCGGTCACACCGAGTCGGTAAGTCATCAGAACAAACCCTGTATTTTCACTATATGGTTAGTTGAGTGTTCGTAATGTTTAAATTTCCGAAAAAAATCATCTACATACTGTGTAGTCCTTCGCTTCATATACCACAAAGCCCTCTGTTATGCTTTATTATGCTAACTTTGACTACTCTCACAGGTGATTCTGATGCTAAATAACTGAACACATCTGACATCCCAAATATCACTCCGAAGTAATTGTTCGCATCCAACAAAAAGTTTCAGTAGACAAATCTAAAATCACTTGCTATAGGTGTATGCTCTGTTTTAAAAATCCAGGAAGGACGAGTATTTTTTGTTCACCTAGCCTCAATTTTCCGGTGTTCACATTTAGGCTTTCTGGATAGTTATATACGTTTTTCCAGTTACGTGTTCTATGATGATTATTGTTGTGTCGGGCGGTGTCCAAAATCTGATACTGATGCAGTGTGCTACTTCCCAACTGACTACTTAAGCGAGAACAGAAGAGTGAGTGAGTGTATTGGGCTACCGAATAAAATGCGCAAATACTCATTCATATATATGCCGCCACTCTAATCCTCAGAAAATCTAACCATTTTCTAGCCAACGAAATGCACTTGTCCTTTGGATCACTTCTGATTGCCAGCGACTGACCTTTTCATCAGGCTACTTCTGATTGGCTCTCCATATCAATTACTAATAAGTTAGCCTATTTAATATGGTTTTTAGAACCCTAGTGTCTGCGATCACCCAATATCTAATGGGGTCATAGAAAAAATACTCTAAAAAGAGTAGGTTTATGGTTTAAATAAATGTGAGTTAGTCAAATCTGCACATCTTTTCGGACATTTTAAGTTCAGCATTAAATTTATTAAATCCAGCTAAAGTGATTATTTTTACCTTATCCAAAATTATTTATAAATTCGTCAATTATAAAGTAAATAAATGACGTTATACATAATCCTTTTTTATCTGAGGGTCAAGTGTACTTTTACTATGGCCTGTCAAATTTCTTCCAAAATCATCGCCGCTACGTCATATCAAAGGATGATTACCAGTTACACGGTTCCGTGGAAACTCCAAAACCAAGTTGTGAACCGTATCGATTCGATCCCAATGGAAAAGTCTATGCCCCATGTGGAGCTATTGCAATGAGTTTATTCAATGGTAATTTTGATACCGCTATCCTTCACACTGATAAGTTTCCGAAATCTGATATAATAGTATTTTTTAAAATTTTACTATTTCTCCTGATTGTTAGCGTGTAATAAGATTCTTTGGCGTCTAAAACACCAACCACCGATGTTTCCATTTTTTAATGTTCAAACCCAGAAAAACCTGGTACATTCTCTCCCTATCCATTGCATGCTTCCTTACGACTTGTAGTTATATCTCATAACTAACCGATGATATTCATACATCGTTTCGTTTGCATATATACGGCGTGAAGGCTCAAGAGTTAAGGGGTTCGACCTTCGGCTACCAAGTCCCAAGTCCGAACACATCCATCTACCTCAGTTTAAGCAATCGAATTACATCATTTCCCCTAACACTAAGAGTGTGGCTCATCACCAAGTACTGATGAATAAGTTGATAACTTGGTAATATAAAATGAAAACGGTGGTGATGTAAGGTAATCGACAGTAATCTCGCGCTGTTTCAATAAACGGTTCCGTATAAGTTCGTGCGAACAGTATAAACTGTGGCTCACAGTATTTGCAAACTTGAAAAGAGGTTCATGCTTCGCATAATTGCGAGGGCTAAAAGTTGCCATGAAACGAAGTTAATAGACAACAAACTATCTAAAGCTTTGCAGACTTATATATATCATAAGTTCGTTCAAAATCACTATTTTAATGGTATGACCTAATATGCTACCAAAAATCTATTTTATAAGACTTATCATCAAGATATAGTCAATGAAAAGAAAACAGACATTCTCATACGTATATTATGCAGATAAATTTATATAACCTGATCAATAGAGACACCTGCTGGAGATGTGATATTCGTAAGAATTATTATGCCTGAGAAAAGACCATCAACGGGTTCCAGGGAATGAAAAAAGGGTACTTGGAAGTTACAAAATCTACCTAAATCAAACAGCTGATTGCTTTTTTATTCTCTGTAGACGTCACATCTTTTGGCTGAAGAAATGATATGCGTTTATCTGAAGTTACCCAGATGTCGCTTGGTTACTAGGATGCTGGAAACATGTCTTGAAGTCATTGTAATTGATCTTCTGAATCATCTTCGAATAGATAAATCGCGTTTGTACACGAAGTTGACTTTATGCACATTAATTTTTATTACGAGTTTTTAATTGTATTTTCAGAAATAGTTACTCCTTTACGGGTGTGTTTGGGCCTACCAAATGTAGAACACCATAAAAACCGTCCTCATTGACTCTTAGTTTTAGATAGGTAAATAATGTGGTTGGGAGAATTGGGAAGTTGGATTTGTATTGGTGGGATGACTCAATGAAACCTCAACAAAATAGTCGATTCAGTATTTTGCTGCCCTGGTACGACCGGGAGTGGGGAGAGTCCGCTCTCCCTCTCGAAATGCTCTCATATGGCCACGCGTATATAGCCTCTGTCAGGGAAGTCCTACTCACTACCTCACAGCGGGGATGTTGTCTACGAAATTGAGAGGACGAAAAGCAAATGTCCGGCGCTTTAACCGGGTTGGTGGACATGGAGAGTCCACCTAGGGGAGTTGGAAAACCCTGATTCCAAACCAATAGTGCACATGGACTCCAGTATCCTAAAGGAAAAAATGGCGTATGAACCAATCGTTGGTTACCTACTGGCTACCATGGGACTGCATCTCCTTACGTTGCTCCACTGCCTTGTGGATCAGACCTTCAGGTCGAAGGCTCCGGGTGTGGCCCCTAAAAAAACCACCTGCTTCGGTTTGGGCACCCGGGCAGTATCACGGCCCTCACACATATCAAATGAGATTTGTGTGGCGCATTTGTATTTGGTGCCTCCTTGTACCAATATCTATGTGTTGAAATAAATAAATATGCAACTATAGTAAAATGTTGGCAAACGAACAAAAGAGCTAGTATAATGCTCAACAGTCAAGTTATTTTTACTTTATGGTGGTGTTATTCCCATTAAAAATACTAGGAATACATAGTTTAGAAGAATTTGACCTTATATAACGACATAGGCTTATTCGTGTGTAGTGGAGCGTCTCGTTAGTCCATTCTGAATTCAGGTAAGGTTAAAATGCTTTGCAGGATTCGAAGCAACTTATGAATGATGCTGATAGGCTATGTGTCATGCATATCGTGTTGCACAGAGTAAAATTTGGTTAGAAAGTTAAGCGTAAGCAGATTAATGAATGTCATGGACCATTGGTTTTTAGCAATATAGAGACGTGTAGACTATCTAGATAGACCAATAAATGTTCTGAAATTTAGTATTTAAAAGCCAGAAAACGTGATTAATAAAGATATAGATTCACTCATTGTTGGTTTTCATCTTAATATTAAATGTCTTATTAAAAATCACTAGTACTTTTTACATTCTGCTGCAAAGCTTACAAACCAAACCATTATGAGAAAACAAAGCAACTGGTTAGTAAACAAAGTACCTGTCCATACATAATCTATGTCGGATTGTTAGTGAAAATCGACCATATGAGGCGACCAGATATTCTTCTGACCGGTCCACAGAATAGTTAATATATTTCAGTAGAATCATTTATGGAATCGTTTTTCATTTCAGATTCATTTACTCTAAAATATCTTGGTAAAAGCTCGGAACCTCTTGCTAAACCATTACAAGTTCCAATGACAAATAAGGGGATCGCTTGGCGTACTGATGTTGAAGAAAAATTTGGAAAACCACCAGCTGATTCATGGGCAAACACAGTAAAGCCAGTCAGTTGGAAAAAGTCAGCTCTTGAACGCTCATCTGGTGCATATAGCGAAGACGAAGAGTTATTGGTATGGATGCGTGTTTCAGCACTACCAACATTTCGTAAATTACATCGTCTAGTCACTCATGTCGGCGCTTTTTCAAATGGTCTACCAGCTGGAATTTATAGCGTCGATATTGAGTACTGTGAGTACTGATTTACTTTTACTTTTTTTCGACGTGACTGACATGTTTTTCGTCAGTTAGATCCTCTCAGTTAACAGAAATTTAGTTTCTTATGCTCAAGGTTACACTTCTTTCATTCATCTGGTGTAATAGTTTTTTTACGTTATGGTCCTTGTTGATAAGCTGACTGTTTAAATGGCAGCTGGATCTTGGATACGACAGTAAAGCTCGGTAGAGTCATATCAAATCCCATATAAGGTTATAAGTCACTCTATCTCTTGCTTATTTTTTCCGAACTATTGTGTTGTTTTTAACCATTTTGCTAACCCGTTTTAATGTGTGATGATAAGAGCAAAATTTTTAGATCGATAGCAAGCGTTATTTTATTTAATTAGAACAAATAAACTTGAAGTGGAAGCAGAATTTATTCTATTTTACAGCTTCCTACCTGCAAACTGTTTCAAATGGCAACAAATTTGTCATAAGTAATGTTTATGGAAATATGCTTTGAACGTATAAATTCACTTATATTTATAAAATAGTAATTAGACCACGCGTAGAAAACAAAATTTGTCAACTACAATTGAAAACGTGATAATGTATGTGAGTTAAAAAATTTTGATCGTAAAAGGAATGAACAAATGGCTTAAGAAGAATTAAACCCTAATAGACTGAGGAATTATATAATTTCTCTGAGTCATTTGAAAAAAACTTAAGAGGATAAACCAGTAGTATTAATTTGGTAGTTGAAAACTAATTAATACGATAGTGTAGGTTTAGTCATCTTGTTTTTCTGTTTGGAAAGATCGAACTGAAAGATTCCTCAGAACGCAGTGGAATTGGCATCCTTCGTTCCTTTGGTATCGTAATTGGTTAAAGAATATCTGTTTAGTGACCGATGTTCATCAGATGCCTTGATATTGCACTAGGGAAAGACCCTGTTTCTATTCAAGATTTTAGATTCGGTCAACAGTGGGTAACGCAGAATCTGACTCATATGAGTTGGTCCGAATTACCACACCATATCAACACACTAAGATGAGTACTAAGTTATTAGAAGTAGTATCAATTGTGATAATTAGGCATAACGAATACGATTCAAGAAGGATGAACTCAGAGCAGAAAACGTATAATATAACTTTTATATCCAGGATCTCGAGATGAACAGAGTGAATAAATCTGCACCATTGCAACGGATTCTGAGTAACTATAATGTTTTGAATTATTTGAATTATAGCACGAACTAAGAGTCCCAGAAATAACGCAATTGAATGAAGAAATGAGACACAAGCACAAACGAATGTATTGTATTTGAAATTCGAAATCAAGCATTCAACAAGTACAAAGGTATCATTAGTTCATTCAAACACCACAGTAACATCATCCAACATCTATACGAAATCGTCGCAATAATCATCCATATTCCAGACTGGGTAGTAAACAGCCATTAACATGGTCCAGACCAAGTTAATGACTTCATGTACTGATTCCGACTAAATGCCTTCGTTTAACTTTTTTTATTTGCTACTCTTTCTAAGTCTATATAAATTGGTAAATATAGTTAGCGGGTACGTGAGCATAAAAAGTATCTACTTAATACCAAAGTAGGAAGTATATGATATCAATGTTATCTATCTTTCCATCAGTTGTTTACACAAGCAGTCAATAACTTATCCATATTCGATCAACACTCCTAAGTATATATGAATTTTTTTGACACTCACTCATTTTTTCCCTGAGTGCTTGCGGATTTTAGTAATTACTAACAATATGCTATCCTTACAACTGGTTTTCTGGCTTTTGAATATCCTCGAGTAAATTCAAACTACTACTAAAGGATTTGGCCTGTTTTAAATACTCAGTTAACGAGGTATTATTTATTGGTGTCAAATAGAGAGGAATTGGCTTCTACAACACTATATACAGATCATTCCAATAGTTTCATTTATTTACATATCCATAAGCCACCGGTTAACATTAAACTTTACTACAAAATTTTCAAGTATTTTATTTCTTAAGATACTAGAAAATAAGATCATTTGATTCTGAAGATGTATTTTTTATATTTGCGTTTCACAAATTTACCAAATAAAAAATTTCACTCAAGTTCATATTATTCCCCTGATTTAATTTTGCTTGTTTTTATTGTACATTCAGCTTATCCTGTCACTCAATTTGGTGGCACTAAACGAATTATACTGTCTACGATGAGTTGGTTAGGTGGCCGAAATCCAACATTAGGAATATCCTATATTGTTGTGGGCAGTGTGGGCCTTATTTTAGGTCTTATATTTTTCATTCTTCACTTTCATACAATGAAGTAAGTTGATATGTTTTTTGCGAAAGCTTTTATCATTTCTTTTTCTAATATACTAAGTCTTAAAAAGAGGTGGGCAGTCAATGTTGTGCTACTGTTTTTCGTGAAAATCTTGTCTCGGTTTATTTTTTTCTCAGGCAATCCGAGTTATAAGCAGAAAACTAAATGTAAGAAGTATAGTTTGATGAGAGCGAATGAAAAATATTAAATAACATTGAAACTAAATGGTAATAAGGAATGCTTACATCTGCAATACTGTCATTAATTTCTTGTCAGCAAATACATATAAAAACAGGAAATAATTCGAACTGAAATTCTTTTTATTTGGGACGGGAATTAGTATGTACGCTGAAGGTGCTTAATAGCATCAAATTTACACTTACAGCAATGCTCGGTAACATAACATGTTAGATATACAGAAAGGGGAGGGAATTATTCCTGCATATTCTGTAGTTTTGTTAGTGTTCTACGTTTTTTTATCAAATAAGCCTGGTTCCCTTAATACCCACAACAGTAGTTTATGGGGTTTGAATTTTGTTGGGTTATTATAAAATGAGCAACCACAGTCATGTAATATCAGCTTAGAAATAAATTGTCACGGTACATAATTAGACTAAAACATTTTGAAATTAAACTATAAAATCTTATCCTTGTTAAATCAATATAAACACTAATTAAAAAATATTCTTCACTGTTTACTTATTTTTTGTACAGGCATCGATAACCTAGCGTTCGTAAACATCAAATGACTTTTCGTCCAGATCATGATTAGTCATATAAAAACTTGTTAGTCGTTCCATAAGATATGAAGTGGCTTCTAGTGATATATTTTGAAGGGTCCTTTATAAAGTATTTTTTTATTTATAACTTTTACTTTTTTGTGAATTTGTAATACTCACGCTCTTAAAAACAAACTTTTGAATGTGATATTTTCAAGATTTCTGGTATAATATACTATTCTTGTCTATGCTTCGATTAGTTTTTCTGTCGGGTAATTTGTTACACGGCAGACATACATCTTACCTGTGGCTTCTGTTATTAAACTTTAGTTTAGTCAGTCCATCTACAAAGTAGGACCAGGCACATACATGCTTCGGTACAAGTTTCCCTACCTCATTAGCACAAGGTGAACATATTCATAATAGTTACTTCAATGGTAGTAATATATATAATGAAAAGATTGCATATAAGGATTTGATATAGGGAAAGAATCAGTTCTTATAAATGTGTAAAGTAATTTTAATTTCACGGTTTAAGGGAAGACAAAGATTGTACACACTTACACCATTGTGATCGATTCTGAGCCATGTCACACCGAGTTCCCAACCACTGGTTACGATAGTTGCGCGGAACTCAACCAAGTAGTCTGCATCTACTAACATGGCTCAGACCGGAAGTTAGTGACTTTATGGACTGATGCCACGTTTTGGTTTGAACGCCCCTAAATTTCTTCCATCCGTCTCCAACTGGTTAGCATTGCACGCCGTGGGAATCTAGTCCAACTTGTCATTGCTTTAGTTTCCTGACTCCTAATTGAGCACCAAATGCTCTAGATTCTTTCGATCTACGTTGGTTGGTTACGGCTCACTACGAAATCCCTCTTGAAGAAACGTTTCTTGGGATGCGTTGCACGTTTGGGTAAGCGCATTTGGGGATACATGTTTCAACCACCTCAGTCGACAAGAATTTATTGTCTTATCAACGGGTTTCCCCAGTTTTTACCTCTAGTACAAATACTGCTCGCTAGCAATTCTTTAAAAATGCCTACGATCAAACACTTGCAGCCTACTCATGTCGAATGCTCTCGTAGGTCGCAATTCACAGCCTTTGTGCCAATACAAGGCGAAACGACACACAATACGAGACGGTATAAAAGATTTATAGCTCAGGTAGATTTTGTCGGAGTCTCAGTCCTTTAGATGGGAGGCTTAATCGTGAAGCTTTCATTGTCCTTCTCAACAACATCAGGTATAGTGAGTTAATTTCTCACCGTTCAATTCGCTCAGCTATTCTCCATCCCGTCAGGGAGTTGGCTGTTGTTCAGAAGAACAATGAAAGCTTCATAATTAAACCACCTGGCTCAGAGAAAGAAACCCCACCACAAAGTTACAATGTATTTGTTCTTTGGTTGATGTACAAGCATTTCGCCTGCACTATAGGAATTACTAGTAAGCAATAGGTAAACGAGACTTGGGTATACTGTATCACTACTTTGTTAACCACAAACACAACCCTCGAACCAGCAATCTGTCCTAGGAGATAAAATGTCTCCAAAAATACGAAAATTTTATCCGGGTTTAAACTACATATTTCTGAATGTGAGGACTGGTGATGCCATCTGGCTGTTCAACGCAAAGATAAAGCCGGAGTCCTAACAGTATATTGGTACCGTTTGAACATTAGATTTCACCGAAGACGAAACGCATGGAAGTCACACAAAATATTCAGTGGGTGCACTTGAATAGTATGAAGAAATACGACAAAACTTGCAAGTTTGTTAAATAAGTGGTTTAGTAACGAATTAATCAAAAAGCTTACATATGAATAATCATTATTAGTTCGAGCATAGTCAAGGGGAATGTAACTTGACCATATATTCAGAAACGACAAAAGGGAAACTAATTCGGAATATGTTTAATATAAAATTAAACCTTGCTTTATGTACATACAGATTGTAAGGTTAAGGAAGTATACAATAAGTCTGACAAACAAAATGAACATCGTAAATATGCGTACATAATTGTTATAAGAAATACTGATATTGAATCCGGACTGAAATACGACCAATAAAATAAGTTAGAATACTCCTTAGTCATCCAGTTCATGCAGTTGGAACCGTTCTTCATCATACAAACGAGCTTGGACAACACGACCAGCAAAATAGCGTTGATTTAGGGCGCAGCAAGCAGCTTTAGCGTCATCCGATCGGTCAAACTGAATAAAGATGCGAACATCCTGACTTGTCATTATATGAATCAAAACGCGTAGAACAGAACCGTAGTTCCCACACTCCTCCATTACTTCCTCCTGAAGTTCGTCGTCCACTTCATTAACACCTACCATATTCTCGAGCAATAAAACCCTAATAGGGACAATAAGCAGACAAATTAAGTATTAAGACCACTGAGTATAAAAGTATACTGAATGAAAAGAGTACAATCATGAATCCACTTAAATAGATTTTGAACCTCGAGGTAATCGTCATCTATAATTATAAACATTTAATGTACCCTAAGTCAACGACAGACTTTTACCACCAATGAGTTCCAGTTAAATAAACTTCCTTATTAACAGCGTGCAGCAAGTCAGATCTAGTTTCTTTTCCATAATTTGAGTGCAAATAGTAGGATGTCTACTCAAACATAAATATTTAGATAAATATGAACCTATTTTACTAAAACCATTCAAGCATATTCGATTTTATTCAGTACTCCGGAACGCTGCCGAAAATTTATAGTGGTAAAGTAGGCAAACAGCTACATTACTATGTTGAAGAATAAGCACATATTTTGCAGTTTGTATTGAGTTGTAGATCTACTAATATGCTTATAAAATATGGTTTCCAGTAACTTGATAAAAGTGATTCCTACCTAGACATACTAATAGTAAACACATCTTGAGAGTCTTCGACATCGTTTAGGTGAGCGGTTACTTCAGTGTGCTCCCCGACCTGATCTTCAGCGGGGATTTCAGGAATTTCCTCTGAAGCAGTTGGGACAGGGATCGCCGAGTCGTCGTCATCATCCCAGACGGATGCAGTTGTGACGGAAATGACATCTGAATAACACAGAAACCAATGAGTTAGATAAATTTAGATTCACAAAAATAAATTTCATTTCGATTTAATGACAGTACTATGCATAAAGCTTTGAAAAATGATAAACGCTGAATCAGTCACAGAAATTGATTTTTAGGAATTAGTTACGAAAACAATCCCGTTGATTGATAAGTTCTATAGTTGCCTCAGGAGGGTTTTAACTTTGTGATATTCGTGTGTTACAACTTGCACCGACATGGATAGGATGCAATAAATGATACTAAGAAGCCATATAAAATACGTCATTTATACTTGGTTTCCAAGGTCTGTTATGCAAAAACATGGTTACGAAGAGTTATATAGCTTGGACAAATCAACAATAAGTTATTCTATTTTAGTATTCGCTTAAATGCGTTCAATACAAGATATCTACGAGACGAGACAGATAAATTGAATCATAGAAACAATTTTCTAAATCAAAGTAAGTAGAATCATCAGTTAATTACAAACTTATATACACAAGTGTAACTCAGTTACTTAGCAGAGCCCCAAGATCATCATATCACCTATCCCAGAAGAGAATATTGGGTTTGCGGAGAGTTTTAGTTATAAAGACATGCTTGAAGTACTTATTCATTTAAACACAAACATTAGTACAAGGAAGCACCAAATAGATTTGTGCGAGGGCTGGGATACTGCCCGGGCGCCTAAACAGAAGCAAGTGGTTTGCTTAGGGGGGCACACCCCTTGAAGTACTTTAATATCACCACATTTCTTTGTCTTTTTGGTTTTTTTTATCTTCTGCATTTTTAGTTTAAAGTTTAATAAAAACAGTAGAAAAATATACCATTTAATCCCTATTTCCTGCCTCCTTTATTAGTTGGATAATTTAAAATGTAATGATAGAAACGTTCTGTTTGTTCTCGATGCGTAATAATTGGTAATTCAGCTCACTCTCGTGAAGTGATTGTTTAATCGGTCACCTTATACATACCAATATTTCTATATATCGCCATAACAGCAGCAACATTTATCATTCACAAGTGATATTAATCCCTTTTCATCAGACTTGACAGAGAAGATAAGAAAAAATCACCGTGACTGCATAAGGATACAAAAAGTGAAGTTATGGATATAAATGAAATGACACGATCGGGAGGAGGATAAGCATTTGAAAGAAATAGCCCAGTAGGTCGACTGAATTAGTTTATTTACATAATCTGTTCAATAAACAGGTGAACTGGTTTACTGAGATTGTTAGTCGGGATCGTGACAAGAGATGGTTGATAGGGAAAGCTTACGTTGGGAACATTAAACATGTGCAGTCTTTTAGGTTTTGTGTTATAAACTTTTCCATTTTATCAATCTGCGTACTTGGTGAACATACCATGTACACCCTTTTGACGCTTGTTAGCAGAATGGTATATTTGCAATTCTACATATTGTCTTTTATGTTGCAGAAATAGAGCAAATCAAAATGTTTTCATATAACTGGCTAGTTAATTATATATTGGTTGAGACGACAAACGTTCTTTGAACGGATTGAAAATTTTCTTTAATAAAGAATTACCTTCTATTTGCTTCTCTTCCGATGTTGACGTTACATTGTCCCCTACAGAAGTAGGAATAAATACACCAGGAGGCGGGAGATTTTGTGCAGCTGCAGGAGGTCCAGAAAATCCAGTGGAAGTTGTAGGACGGTTTGTCTGTTTAGATTCAAGGAGTGTGATTGAAAAAGTTTGTGGAAATGGGTTATTTAACCAAAACTCAGCATTTAAAGTTATCTATGGGGTAGGTAGAAGCCTGACGAAGACAGTGAACTTCTGTCTTAGCATTTATGAATCCTTCCCCAAACATTTAGAATAAACAAAATTGTGTGTACAAATGAAACTTATTCAACCTCTTCTTCTATAATGGCCTTAATCACAAGTTTTCCGAAGTAATTACCCTATCCCTATTTCCCTACAGACGTTTTACCTTTAGCTGACTTATTTTGTTTCTGCACTGTCTATGATTAAATTTTATCTCACCATGTCACTCAACCATTTTGAATAATTACTATTCTTTATAAAAACGTTTATGGAAATATTGATGAATATTCAAGATTTCAACGACTAGGTTTACAGTTTCCTAACAAGGACATCATTTCTTGTAATTTTGTATTAAGCTCAGTAAATTTGATAAACATATTATTGATTACCACTAAAAAAGGCACAAATTTGCGACTGTGTGGCTTTGAAAGTGAATTGGCGGAAAAAAGAACTCCATTTAACCAATTACTTTTGTTTTTATAGTGAGTGTATCCCATTTAATGGATTGTGAATCAATAAATTGTGAGAGAAAATAAATTTTGCATTCAATACCCGATTACTTCTAAATGAAACGTGTAAAATCGAACATTTAAACAATTACACTCACTTAAAAACCTAATAAGTCCGTAATTTGGACTGCAACAAGTCAATACCTATTAGAATAGTTAAATATTATGAATAATTTAAATAACACATTCATGACAAGTGTAATGGTGTTATTCTACTATAAAACTATATTCAACAGTTTAACAATGTGGATGTAGCAGACTAGTTAGTCCAGTTATTATCAATGTAGAAACTGGCACGAGTGTGCGTCAGTCAAAGTCTGATAGTCTTAACTTAATTGGTGACTGAACGACCTACGAAACTAGTAACTTACAAACGCCTATTTCACCAGAAAAAAGCGTGTTTGTTGGTTAATTGCAGTATCTCTTAAAATCAGTTCATTTGAGGACTTTGATCACTTATTTGGTCTTGTGAGCAGTTATCAGATTGAATTTTATTATTTTCCATCACTTATTTATCACCATTTAAATAAATGAAACATGTTTATAATACATCCGAAACCCTTCTCTATAAAGTCTTAGTTCACTGTGGTCAAAAGAAGCAAATCCTTTAAGCAGCTGAACAATTTCCCTGTTAACCAACTGGTTACAAATGTCCTAATACTCTATAACATATAAGCTTATAGCGTTCATTAAAACTCTACTCAAAATGACAGAACGAACGAAATGGAACAGGTTCATGTACTCAGCTTTTAAAAACCTAAGTATGACGGTTAGTGATATTACTGAGCTGCTCCAAACCGAAGTGAAGTATGACTCAAACTCTGAACCTATTTAGCCTTTAGCTAGTAGGTTGGGTTTGGGAAACTGGTTAATAGCATTAGCCTTCATAGCTAGTGTGACTGTAAACTAAGTATCAAAATTTGCTCATGATAATTGGGTTACACTGAAGTCAAATCAGATCAACGGCAGGGTTTTTAGAGATTAGAAAAATATATTAGTGAAACCATACAATACTGACGGCCTTAGGTGATCAGATTCAAGATTTTGGGTATTAAATATTAGGACGAACACCATTGCCGGTAACTTGTCGCTGAAGATCATGTTTTTGACTAAAGCTTATATGAACTGGATTGTGAATTTCTTGTGGAACAATGTGTTATAGTTTAGAATTAAGGTTCTAATGTGTTAGAAGTTAGAGGTACTGTGTTAGGGTTAGGTAGTAGGGCATGAAAGTATAAAAGTTAGGAGTTCGTGTTAACGAATGTTAGGTTTAGGATGTTGAGGTGCCACTAGCTCCAATCTAATTTACCAAAATCTAGCTATAAGTTTACTAATTGTGCTAAAATTCCAAATCCTCTGTAATTTTATTATTTTTTAAAAACAGAAGTGTTTCACAAAAAGTGCATCCTAATTGGGTTGCTCTTAAATTCCCAAAGCCTATCAATATATTTAGTGTTCAGTCGACTAAGCATCCTTGAAAAATTAAATCAGAACCATTCAAATATCAAACTAAAAGGTTCGGTGAACGATGAGGAACACTGAGTACGAAAAAAATTAGATAATAGACTATATAGATGAAAGATTTTTTACCGTATCACTTAACTTTTATTAGTCAATATTGTCCACTTTAATGAAAGAGCGTACATGTTCGTTTTTTAACAGCAAATCCAGTAGCTGGAACAATGTATTGATAGAGTGATCGACAAACCACACAGACTTCTACTCATTTTACCAAACTTGCATTCAGAACATCGGAAAATCATGAGTGATCACCAGGAACTGTTTATTTAGACACAACTCACATGATTGTGCAAGTAAAACACAGGACTAAGAAGCATTACAAACAAACTAGGACTTTTTTATGGATAACAGTTTGTAGTGTCAGTCATTATTTTAAGCCTATATATCTTATTCTAGCTTTCGGACATTCCATTCTATTCATTCTACTTGAGTCATATTTTAGCCTTGTCAATTATTCGTTTATCAGTCTTGACTGTTTTTATATGAGCGTATATGTGTGTACACTTCATGTCCCATCACATGTCTGTAGTTTATTTTTGTCTGACTATAAATATTGAGTAACGCTTAACTGAAATGGAGTTGGCTTCCCAGCCATCTTCCCCGCGTGTCATTTTGCTTTGCTCTGTTTCATTCGCTTCATATACAAAATATATGTATTCACAAATCAATTCTCGTTATTAGACTTATTTAATTTTGTTATTGACTAACGTGATTTAAGTCGACGATGATATACAAGAAAAGGCGATAACAATCATTTATACGATCTAAATAGGAGTCAGATCCACGGGCCACTAAGAGTTCAACAGATTTATGGTTGACTGGTTACAATTTCGAAATAGTATAAGACATAGTAACCACTGACGAGTCAAACAACAGTTCATAATTAGAACTATATAAAAATACCATGAAGAAACTGCTTGGTACTCTTCGAAAAAATACCATCTCTACAGTTTAGCAGATGGAGAACCTCTGCTAAAGTATATGTGCATTGTGTAAGCAGGTATGAAAGCGAAAAGTAGAACCAGGGATTATATCCAATCGAGCGACTTTTGTACGACAAACTCGGAGATTAAGAAGCAAACTTTTGGTTTCAGTTTGAGATGAAAAATAAAATAATTCACTTGACCAGTCCCCAAATCAGAACATGGTTGAATAGGGGCGTAACTATGTCCCAAATAACAAGGTTGGATGGAAGTAGGAATCATAACAAGAGGAACGGTAGCGTATATATAATCGTTACATAAGATCTTAGAGTCTTTTCCAAGTACTCGCTAGTGCTGATTTGTTAAGAAACGGCCAATCAGAGTGCTTCAACACAATCCTGCACGGGATATACTTTAATTCAACCTATATCTCGCTAACAGCTATCTTTTATGATTATAGTCATCATGATGATATCACATTTTACATCTATTGACTTCTTAATATGTGGTTGATTGTTCTCTTATTGATTGCTTACTTGATTTATCTTGCTTTGCTACAATGTTACATCTAATAGCTATATATAAATGTGAAGCATATTATCTCGAACCAATTCCTTCCAGATGTCGCAGGAAATTTACATTACTTTATACCCATGTTCCTAAACGAATCTGTGGATCAATAATCAACAGAATACAGTAAATAATATGGATTCAAATGCCAAAAAGGAAGATGATAATATATTTACTTACTCCATTAAGGCTGTTCGAACTAATTTCCTCAGCTGACAGTGTCATAACTTTAGCGGAAATTGATGCGGCTGCAAACGCGACGGCCGAAGTAGATATTGGATTAGTGGAAATTGTATTTAAACTTTTGTTAGCATTAAGTTCGAATGGAAGAGGAACTCCTTTGGGAGTAAGTGCGCGTCCAACACGAAGTTGTTGTCCCGCCAAGTCGAAACAATTCATGCTTGAGACGGCCGCGATAGCAGCTTCTTCTGATTCGAAATCAATGTAACCGAATCCCCGATGACGACCAGAACATTTAGGATCTGGATACAAGCTGATCGAATAGCGTAGGCAAGAAGTTGCGGAAAATTAACGTCACCAGAATTCTTAACCAGATGGTAGACAGCACCTAATGGCTTGACTATCATAAATTAAAACACGCAGTACGAAAAAGTGCTGGGTTGATTTTTTCTATTACAGTAAGATGTACACCATAAAGTGTAGGCATAGGTGCTTCAGACCTTATACATATATACACACTTCAGAACAACAACTTGGTGTTAAATATTTATTAGTTGAAATTTAACGAGAAAAACTCAGTTCGCGTTGTACTCAAGGACTTCAATAGCCAAATTGGATGTTAAGAAATGCTATAAGTAGCAACATAATACTGATTGACGTACAAATGGAGAAATACACTTATCGAATAAGCAATTAACTAGCAAACACATCACGTCAAATCTGATAGTTATTATATAATTCTGCAAGGTAACCAGAATGAGAAATTTGTTCACAACACTTAGAAAGTGAGTTCGTTAGAACTCTAGAGAATGAAGGAAGGAGTTACAAATATTGGATATCAACTGTCTTGATCAATAGTAATAACGTGTATCAACACTAACAGCCAAACAAGTCACGCGAGGACCTAATTACAGCACATTAGTCAACTCTAAGGATAGATATTTATACAATTAACCGCCCTAGCAGGATAACCAGTGTCGCGAAACTAAGTTTAATTATACGGATGTACTTGTAAAGTAAGTAGCTGTGAATCTGAAATTCCAACCTAATTAAATCTCATCAATATTTGTCTTTTAAGGATAAAATCAAACTCAAGACTTATATACTCAAGGTATATGTCAAACTTCACAGTACTTATGAGAGTTTCATAAGAATGAGTCATTTCTTGGGGTAAACTAATTAGTATCCAGCCCAGTGGTAAAATTAAGTAATTAAAAATGGAACCTAAAACGTGAAAACTGATAGGATTAGCCCTACGACTACAGACTAGTTTGGTGATGATCATTTTTTAACCAACTTAGTACCAAATTAAACGCCTGTAATTTACTAGTTCGGGGCTTTATCGTTGGAGCCAAGAAAACCCAATTTTTCAACGTCTGAATCTGACTTCAAATAAAATTTCCTTTACTGTTATTTTAACAAGAAGCAGTCATCTAGATATGTTACATCACACTACCTGCTTACCTAGGCTTTTATAGTCCCAACACCAATCAGACAGAATGGGTGCCTGATTGATTGTTGAGGCAATTAAAGACATTAAACGATTTGGGAAGAACGTATGCCGGTTCAAGTTGCCAAATCTCAAATCGAAGGGAAATCAACTAAATAAGAAAGAGGTAAGTATCATCATTAACACTAATGCAAAACTAATTAAAAATGGTTTTTGTATCTAACCGTTACGAAATACATTACACTATTAGTGAATTCAATAACAAATATACAAGGCAGAAATTCAGTGCCTAGAGTGGTCACTTGATCATAGTTTACCTGCAGCTGTTTACTTTTCCGAATGCTTCGAATACAGTTTGAATATCAGACTCGGTTAACTCTGGATGAACTGAAGCAATGTATACACGAGGCTTAGTACTAACTTCTGCGCGTAGTTCGGCTTCTAAAGCAGCAGTTTGAGGAGCATTGCTTGGTCGCCCGACCTGTGATATATGAGTCAGCAAGAAAAAACATTTAATTTGGTAATGGTGTGACTTGCTAAAATAAGTTAACAGAGCAGTGACAAAATATCTTATCTGGCTAACCGATATAATGAACAGAAGTGAACACCTCTGAATACATTCAAAACCTGAACAATCTGACATACCGAATTTCGAGTGAGACTATAATTTATGGACGACCTTTAGGCGACGCTAAGGTGACCTTAAGGATGTCCAGCTGTTAACTAGGACTAAATGAGGGTTATAAACCAATGCAAGGAATTAGAATTGACTTGTATTTGATCGTTAGGGCTAGGAACTGGATTTAGGGTTTTCATCGCGAATTTTGTACCAGAGTTATCCCTTGACAAACAGATATGAAACCCATCAACTCCATGTCAAACTGATATCGGGAGAAAACGAATTCGTTTTTTTCCAATGTACAAACTCACTAAATCTAGTGTCGTGTGAAGGTAGAAGTTACAAAATACAACCATGAGATAAAGAAAGATAGTATCATTGCCCAAACAACACGCACCTTTAGGTTTCTGCCAGCCAGAGTGTATCCATTCATTTGATCTAATGCCAAAGAAGCAGCCTCTGGTACCTCGAACTCAACAAAAGCAAATCCCTTGTGTTTTTGTAGAACTGTATCCCAACTAAGAGCGACAGACTTAATCGGTCCAAAGGGTGAAAACGTTTTTCTGATTTCTTCCTCTCCGATTTCAAAACTGATTGACCCAACATAAATTCGACTCAAAAGAATAAGTGCCTGATTCCTTTTAATTGTATTTAAGTCCTTAAACGTGAGAGTAATTTCGACAGATAGATACCTGTTGGTGTAGCTGTGCTGCTTGTTTGCTGAGTGCATTTTGAATACTTTGCTCTAAAGCATACTTCTTTGCCCTTTCAATGGCGAAACGCTGATCATCTGTCAGAGTCAACAGTGTGAAAGGTTCTTGTTTAATATTAGTTCCAAAGTAAATAGAATCCCCCATTGGCATCAGACTAATTATACCACCAGACTTCCGTAACGCGGCCGCAACACTCAAATCTACGTTAATCATACCGATGAATTATAGTACGATAAGCGCGCCTTTAAGCTAAAGAATTGAAATAGTTGGTGAGATGTGTCCTAAAAACTGTACAATTAGCAATCTCGATAGATTATGAACAAATAAAATTTTGTTACCAAAACAACGAAAATAATTTATTTTTCTTGTTTGTTCATTGATATTCAGTGATGAACTTTGTTTTGTCTCACAATCTATAGATGTTAATGTGAAGAAATGTTTCGGTCTTTAGAAGAACGAATGGTATGCCACATCCCATATCTAATATCTTTGAAGCAAGCTTTTGTAAATCAGACGATTTCCTTGTGTATACTTTCTGGCTTTATAGTGCAATCACAGGTCTTTGATTTCATTCTGTATCGGAAAATAAGTCCCCAAAATAAATGGTTCTGTATGTCGTTTACATTTATGCTGACCTCATTAGTTCTATTGGACACACCTAAGCTGGAGGTACTTGGTCACGCACCCACACCAGATCTTGAGTGGGCGTGCCGTGCCTCACATCTCTTGAACTAGTGGTCAGCTTAGACCAAACATTTCTCGATACATCGATAGCTTTCCAAACATATCTTCGGGCCTCCTCATTTGTGACTTCTAATCTGAGTGTATTGCCACACTTCAACTAGAAAAGTGTTGCATGTAAAGGCGTCATCAAACCCCGAATACTTGTGGAATCTTCAGTTTTGTTTGGATACACAGCTGTAGAAAATAAATAGTTTTTAAAGTACTCGATATCTATAATAACTTCACTAGTCTTACTGTAAGCATCCTAGCTAAAGGCGCTCGCTTACCCTTCAGTACTGGATCAAAAGTGGATATTGTGTGCTACTCAACCCCTGTTACAACTAGTCAGCTTGACTCATATGCTCCTCGGAATATCGGTTATCTTCTAAGTGTATCTTTGAACTCCTTTGTCCCTAAAATCTGATTTGACCGGCTCTGGGATATGTCTGCCCTGGAGGTTTTATGGACGACAGCGCTGCTAAGATCTGGATGTCTACGACATTTTTTGTAGATGGTTTAACGACGCGGCTGTATACACACTGAATTTGAATGTTGACTAGAGGTTGGTATGTTTTTGTTAGAAATTAATGAAACACAACTGTTTGAGCAAAGAATATTCTTTTCAATAACTTCTCATCAAGTTCTACAATTATACATCCATATTAATAACCCATAAAATTGGCCAGATTTAAGGCAGAGTATATCATTTGGAAATTGTAATATGTGAATCGAGAACTGTTGTTTGATACATGAAATCAATTCAGATCGTTAATGTTGGAGCTGTTTAATATGAAGTATGAGAAATAATATGTGAAATAAATAGTCGGAATAAATATGGTCAACATGGGGTGATAGAGAAAATAATGGAATAATAATCGGAAATTACGTAATATGTAGAATAATATGAATTAGGTCAGATATAGTAGATTTAGGGGAGGATATTGAATAAATTTTTCAAAAGGTCACCAAGTGTAAAAATAATGATAATCTTAATAATAATGGTAATAATAATAATAACAACAGTAATAATAATAAGTTGAGGACATAAAATGAGCATTAAGCAGGTTACGTCACCATATTATAAAATTAATTATTAAATAGTTGGCCCCGAAGTTGGCCAGGGCAAAATGAGTGGATGAACATATTTTTTTTCGATACAGAGCTCTGGCTTTTTGGTCCGAGCAGCAATTGCTTCAGCCGTCTGTAGGATTCGCAGTCTGACGGAATTAGGTAGACTGCTGTTAACACGATAGATTATTGTGAAAGATTGCTCAGTGTTGGCTGTATGTCCTGTTTGAACACCTTTGCTTAACCACACGAGGTGCTCATGAGCCCGAAAGTACAAATTCCTAAAACATCTGCCAACATAACTTGCTCCACAGGAGCAGTTGAATTGATAGATACAGAAGGAGGTGGCTAGTCTAGGTAATTTATCTTTCAACCTCAGAGTGATTATTGGTCGTGTGGAGAATATTAGTTGTAGTTTACCCGAATTAAAAGTCCTTTGAATTGATCTGCTTAAGTTAATTCTTAGTACTCGAGGCATTGCCTCTGAATTGCAAGCGTATATACAGAGGCTTTTGATTTACAGTTGAGCATTCTGTGTGCTGTCTTTTATTGGCTATGTTTATACTCATAAATTTCTTGGGATACCCATTTTCCTTCAGGATTATGTATAGTGACTTTTTTTATCTTCAGTCTTATCCACAGAGCATATAGTCTTGATTCTATGATGCAGTGTCTTGATAAGGTTCCTTTTGTGTTGTAAAGGGACAAAACTAAGAAAGTTTGTATATTGAATTAGTTTTAAGTATGCCGGGCTGCTAGAATCGGAAACTTTCATACTGCCGGACGGAAGACTGTTTGGTTACAATATGAAGGATTATAAGGTTAGTGTTGAGGATGGGTAAAGGAATAGTTCATACATATCACATGAACTGGTAAAGGCTTAAGGATAGTAGATAAGGTAAGGTGAAGAGACATGGGTTGGTAATAATAATGATAATAATAGCAGCAATTATGGTGTTAATAATCATAAGTTGTGAGATGTGCACCAGGTACATCTATCTCAGGCGAAGGACGACAAGCCATGGGTGAGTATGTGGTTAACAAACTTATTCTTAATGTTGTCAAATGAGGGGGTTGTGGTCACTTTGGTTGGTCGAGCATTTCAAGTGAGTACTAGCTGTTGGATGATCAGTTCATTGTGGTTTACCTCATAAGGTGAAATGTTAAGCTTCGAGCATGATACTTTTACTGTGATGACCTGAATTACATGATATTTTATATACCATTATGAAGTTAACTCACTTCCCTCTGCAGGTCAGTGGGAGCAATTATAAATTACAAACTCAGGTTTATCCTTTAATCTTGTGACCCATTTTGTTTCACGCCTGTATGCTTGCTCAAAGAGATCCATGTTCGCATGGCGGGGGCGGGTCTTGAGATATTGTTGGATGTGGGTCTTGACTGGTGTCTGGAAGAGATAGGGGGTCTTGTTGCCTTCAGAAGTAAAGGGTTACTTTCACTTTGACTGCATCTCACTGGTGGTTGTCTCTAGTGTCCTGGCGTTTTGTTAGCAACAGGCCTAGGTTGTTCCCAGTCGTTGCTTTAGAGAGGCGGTGACAACTGAAGGAGTGGTCACCCAATCCCATCACTATCTTACTGTGTCAGTACGGCGTTTGTGGCGCAGGAATTAACTTTTCTAAAGCCTTTTTGAGTTTTGCGAAAGAGCTCGTGGACATTTGTAGACTCCTGTTTTTGATTGTCCACCGGATGTTCTAATGATCTTGAGAGCGCTGGGAAGAGAGTTATATCCATGTAGCAGTTCGAATCTTTTAAGCTCCTCTCTAATGGTTACGAAAGGAATCGATGAATTCCGTTCTCTTAGCAACTGCCCAAAATTTAAGGAATGCTGAAAAAGGATTATTTATTGGGTGGCAAAGGAATTTGGTGCATTTTTGTAGTACTAAGGGAAAAGTGTCTTCTCAATCCTTTATCATTCCCTGGATCGAATTTTTTACGGTCTACTCAATATTAGCTCAGGCTTCATTCACGCACCACTCCTCATTACCATAACTTTTCGTATTAGTGTGCAACTGTTGATTCGTTGTCCGATTCATTTACTTTGAAACTGCATACAGAGAACATCTGCTGCTTTTAGGTTGTCAGAAATCATTTTTTGAGGTTCAGTGACGACATAGCTTCTCTTTTTCGTGCTTCTTCTTTAGGGAGAAAATCATCGACCGTGTTTTGAGCTTGAATGTAGGTTCAAGGACTAGTTTGTTTGAGAGACCTCCTAATGTTTCTTTCTCTTATATCGGGCCTCCTTCCGGGCGTTATGCACAAGTCTTCTAGTGAGGCCCTCCACCTCTTCCAAGCATTTGTCTTTATATGAAGCCGTCACTCAGTGTCGAGCTTTACAAAAGGTCTTCTCTTATTTGGATTATGAAGCCAAGAAGGATATATTTCAAGGTGGCCTAGTAAACAGTGATTCTTGTAACTGCCCAGTGTTCGTCATTTGATAAGTCGACTCTTTTCTGTGGTCATGGACTACGTTGAATGTATCACACATCATAGTGTTTTTCTAGAAACTAAAGATGCTACAAGTATTAGGAGTTTGGCGACACCTTAATCAGTGGCACCTTTCATAATCTAAACGTGCCAACCCAGTGAAATCAGAAGTTAGAAGCAGAAGCGCTCAATGATGTATTTGATGGGATATCGATATACCGAGAAGTGATTAATCTGAGCTTGCTAGCAGTCATAGGAGAAGTGAAGCACGGTGTACTCACTCGCGATCTTATGTGGATGAATGACCGAGCGCCTTCAGCTAGGTGAGTCCATTAAAACTAATAAGTTAAGCACTAAATGTAGAAGACTTACAGAACTACTGATTTTGGGGATTTATTTACCCCTACAAAACCATATTTGATCTAGTCACAGAATGATCATTATTGAGAGCGTCAACACAAACATTTCTGACCGGAAGTTGACTGTTTGACAATGGTTCAGATGCTATTATTCGACATTTCCAACCTTAAAACTTCCAACATAATGAGTTAACACATATAAGCGAACAGTATTGTCTTCAGTCAGTATCTCATTAGGTTTTATTCTGATATACTGTAATGTTAACATGCACGCACAAAATTATTTAACCAATCACCCAAGCTTATAATTCAGTGATAACGGTGGAATAGATTACATAAGTGACCATAATAAGTGAAGGGTGCAAATTGATAGTTTGATGACAAGTGTACTGGTTGTGATAAGAATAAAGAATGCTTGAATTCATGATACATAATGAAAAATCGGTCAGTGACTTGAGCAAACATAAGTGCTGAAATGACATTCATAAAACTGTAAGATTACGTAGCGAGAGATGTTCATATAATTGGACAATATAGCGTAATTTATAAAATAGAAGCAAGGGGGTGAAGAGAGATAAATGAACAAAATGTTTGGAAAACATTGATAAATAACGTCGCTTATTAAGGCCATGTGTAGATAAAACCGGTAGGAATATGATAAATTGCTTCAAATGACCTATTTC